AGCCCCTCGCATTGGTGTACATGCACCTCAACTCCTTCCCACCGCTTCCTTTCTTTGGAGTCCCCAGCCTTCTCCTTCCCCCCATCTTCCCTGATACCTGGCCTCTCTTTGTAGGAGTCCTATCTGTCCCTGCAGTACCTCTAAAACCCTGCTCCCAGAGCCCTACCCACACTTGTCCAGTGCAGATATGTTTCTGGGGGGCCTGACCCGCCCCCCCCCCAGCTCAAAGTCTTCCGGAAAGGTTGCTAGAGCATCTCCAAGGGACCCGTTCCTTGCCAGAGATCCATTGGCAAGAAACCAGGTGCCATGGTAGAGGAAGTGTTCCTTCTGGCACCACACCCTAAGCCTCAGCGACCCTCCTATCCCTGCCTGGCCCAAATCCCCGGACTGGTAAGATCAAGGAGAAGGCCACTTGGGACCTTAAGGTCCCTGAGTTTCTTCCCCAAGGCCGCTAAGTCACTGATGATCCTGCCCACACCCTGCCTGGCTATGTCATTTGTGCCCACATGGATCACCAGAAGTGGCTGGTGACCACCAGAACGAACAAGATGCTCCACTCTATCCTTCACATGCTGGATGTGTGCGTCCGGCAGGCAACAGACCTCCCTCGCCTCAAGGGCAGGGCGGCACACCGCCACTTCAGTGCCCCTCAGCAGGGAGTCCCCTACGATGATCACCCGCTGCCGTCTCTTCTTGGTGGTGGTAGGCTGCCGTGCCCTGGCCCTCGCCTCTCCTGCAGCGGCCCCCTTGCCTCTTGTGGTCCCAGGCTGGGGGTCCTTCTGGTCCCCCAAGGTCTGATCAGCTCCAGCGTCCCCAAGTGGAAAGAACCTGTTTCCCAGCTCCAGATCGGCGCCAGGAGAAGGAGGAGGCTGTGGGTGACATGCCTCCATGTTTCCCTGGCTGTTCCTCCCGTGGCCCCTCCCTCAACCCTCTGTCTGGAGGGGGACTGCTCCTGGGGGATCTGGAGAGCTCTCTCAGCCTTCAGGCACCTCATCTCCTCTAGGAGGACCACCAGCTTGCACCGAGGGCAAGTGTATCCCTGCCTCTCCTGAGGGAGAAGGGCAAACATGTTGCAGCTGTCGCAGTGGACAGGAACACCCATGATTTCTGCCAAGGCCATCTCCTGGTCTGCCATTGGGAACCCTTCAGAGACCCTACCTTAGTCCCCCACTTTGTCTGTCCTGCACTACTCCTCATTCGCCCAGTTCTCCCAGACAAAAACCTACACAAGGATAAAATAAAAATTCAAATGGGGGTGGGGGGGAACCTGCCTCCAGGGAAGGGAGTCCCCTCACAGCCCGGGCCACAGCTAAGGGACACAGACAAGGGACGATGCCTCTCAGGCTGGTGGCCTCACCCCTCTGCTTCCTCCTGGCCCCTCCTGCCTCTCTGGCCCTGCCTCCCTTCCCCCCTGCTGCTCCTGATCCTCTGCTCCTCTGCCCAGCTCCTACCTTGCCTTCACCAGTCCCCTGGCCACTCAGCACTCTCTCCCAGCCTCTGCTGCTCCTCTGCTCTGCCAAGAGGCAAGAGCCAAAAGCTCTTGACAAAATATGACTAAAACTGGATCCAATCCAGCCTCTCACACTTTCCAGAGATGGCCATTCACAATGAATGTTGGTAGTACTTCTTCATCCATTCTTTCCATAAAGAACTTCTTATATTTGCTACTAATATAACAATGGTTTTAAAGGAACTCTACAGACTGTCAATATGTATCTGGACTAATTTGATAGAATTATGACATTTAAAGTCCATAGATGAGGTTCACCATAGGAGGACTTGTGGAAAATAAAATATGTTCACAGCTTGAAACTTTAGTACTGTGGTACCTCGGCTCATGAATGCCTCAGTTCACGACCAAATTGGGTCATGAACAAAAATTTCATAAAAATATTTACTCAGGTCATATAAAAATATTTGCTCAGGTCCTCATTGGTTGGCGACCGCGATTGTGGCCATCTCCCCACACCCCCCAAGTGGGGAGATGGCCGCGATCGTGCTGGGGGCGGGGGGGGGGAGATGGCCGAGATGGCGCCTGTATTTCCTGCATGAGGGCGCAACTGTGATCTCGGCCATCTCCCCCCTCCCCCAGCACGATCATACCCATCTCCACCTCCGAGCATGCCCACATTCTCACCTGTCTTCCCCCCCTCCCAGGGCGCCCACGTTCCCGCCTGTCTCCCCCCCCCACAGCGCATCCGCATTCGCACCCATCTTTCCCCTCACAGTGAGCCGGAATGACAGGCGCGTGCAGGGATGATGGGCGTGATCCTGATTGTGTGGGGGGGTGGGGGAGATGGCCGTGCTCTTGCTTGGGATTGGGGGGGGGGAGGTGGCTGCAATCTTTGTTTTTCTTTGTCACTTTGCTTCACAGTTTTCTGATTTAAAAAAAAAAATAGTTACAGAACGAATTTACCTTATTTACATTGAACCTTATGGGGAAATTTAACTTGGCCCATGACCAATTTGGGTCACGACCAGAGTCCTGGAATGGATTAAGTTTGTGAGCCAAGGTACCACTGTATTTAGGAGAGTCTCACTCCCTGTATAAGCTTGTCTGAGTACTGAAATCTGCTGAAGTGATTCACCTTTTGTCCAGTTTATTGAGTGCCTCTTAATTGTTGATTGGCTTGCTTGGATTCTTGCTCATCCTAACGGACATTTGAATTTTTCCCCATCCTGTAATCAGTTGAAAGATTTGAATAAATAAATAAATTTGTTTCTTCCTTTAGAAGGAATCCTCTGCTCTTAAAAGCTTTAGGATATCTAGTGCTCTGTGGACTGCTGCCATCAGGACAGGAGGCACAATAGAGGCAAGTTTGTCTCTCTGATCTGCTGTTGCAAAAATTTCCTCTTGATTGGCTTCTCAGCCTATCTAGAGATGATGCTCTGCTGGGGGATGGCCAGGCCATAGGATTTCTTACATCTCAGCCTCTCCTCTCCCTCCCTGCCCACTGGAATGCACACCTATCTTTCCTTCCAAAAATGCCACATTTGCAACCTTGGGAAACGACAACAATCAACAGTGAACAGAGATCATAATTTAGGGGATGAGAGGGATCATAACTGATCACATCCCCCACCCACAGCCTGCATCTCAAGGGTCCCTGGTTTTCAGGGGACACAGGAGCTACAGTTGGGAAAGGGCCTTCCCTCTTGTTTATTTACCGAAATTGTTGACACTGTATTTTATAATCTGTTCTTGCTTTAACATATTCCATATAAACATCCTTAATTATCATTACAAAATAATAAGTCATATAATATATAATACATTCAGAACAAAAGAATACTTCACTAAACTAGGGTAACTTTAATGTATCAACAGAATAATAATTTATACAACATTAGAGCAGAGCTGAAAAGTTCTACAGAGGAACCTTTTGATTTTCATTGGGAAGGCATGTGAGGTAAAATTATTTTACAAAACTATATCAACCCGACTAAGCATTTTTTGCTGCCACCATCCCCATAACAAATTCAGCACCCTCTGTTGCTCTGCATCCCTCCTCCCACTTTTTGTTGTTTTTTTTACCATCCTTCAGTTTTTCTTCTTCTCCAGACTGAAAGCACTGCTTCCCAGTTTTGCTCTGACTCTGACCATGTCCATGTCAACGCCAGGTCAGAGTGAGGACAGAATTAAGATGCAATGTTTCCTATTCTTATTTTGGGTATCTTCTAGGCAGTGCTTTTTTGTAAGAAAAACGGTGCCGGAACTCATGAAATTATTTACCTTTCGTACGTAGTCAATCACTGTACACACACCACACACATCAGTTGTGTAACAAAACGTAACGGTTGCCACCCGCAGTAAGCTCAGCGCACAACCACACGACCAATCACAAGCCAAGCAGCACCACAAGCTGAGAAGTGCCATTACAACCAATGTGGACGAAGTATGCATGCATCAGAATCGACACACAAGCAGCCTGCATGCACCGTTTTAATGATTTTACCGCCGACCTGCTACGCTCGACAGGGTGATTCAAATCCATGTGGACCAAACATCAAATTTTCAAAAGTTACTTTTAAAATTTGGAAAATCTGTCGAAAAAAGGTGCCGGAACTCTGTTCCGGTGCGTTCTATGACAAAAAAAGCACTGCTTCTAGGTAAGAATGTTGCTACTCAGAAAGTATCAGAATGAAGTCAATTAGCATTGTGTCCTACAGGTTCCTGAACTTTGATTTGTTTCCAAGATAGCAATGCATATATTAATGCCTTTTAATGTTTATTAAATTTTGCCAAATATGTAATGCATAGAAATATATTATTCTGTACTATTTAAGTGTATATTAAACATTTTAAATTATTTAATAATAATGAGCTGTTCTTGCCTTTTTCTTCCTCATGATTAGAAAAGGCAGAACCAATTATGAAGAACTGCAGATGTAGAAACAAATATGCAAAATACAAGTTGTAATTCTCATTTGTTTAATAAATTCATATCACAGAATTTATTTTTTTTGGTACTAAATTTAGATTTTGAGTTGAGTAGAGCAAATTAGACACTGCCCTGTGGTAGACATCAACTTGCACTGCTCTGTCCATGTAGAAGCTCACTGGAGGAAAAAATACTTTAACCTCTGGTGACTGAGGTGGGCAGAGCAGCTGGAGGCATGGAGGCTCTGGCTTGGCATTGTACAGCCTCACCATAGCATGGGTAATAGTGCCCGGCAGAGGCTGGACATGGCTTGCTCCTCACCAACTACACACCTTCACAGTAGAGCAGCCCATATGACCTCCACAGTGACCTGGTTGGATAAGAGTACTGGCTACTGCTGGATTTCAACAGTACTTGCACAGAAAACATACTTTAGTTGGGCAGACTGGTAGATACCAGCTGGCTGGGAACCACGGGTCTTAGGAATTAGCATAAATATTACACACATACTTAAAATGTGCTATTTTGTAAGCATTTCAAAGCAATGAAAAACATGGCTTCCTTCTTTCTTTCTCATCCTTCCACCTGATTATTTTTTTATTCCCCCTCCTCCCACAGGAAGCAGGGAAGCTGCTTTCACCTATGCCATCACTGCTGCTGGGGTTGCACATGCCGTCACTGCTGCCTGCAGCCAGGGAAACCTCAGCAATTGTGGCTGTGACAGAGAGAAACAAGGTTATTACAACCAAGAGGAAGGGTGGAAATGGGGAGGCTGCTCCGCTGATATCAGATACGGCATTGAATTCTCCAGGAGGTTTGTTGATGCCAGAGAAATCAAAAAGAATGCTCGGAGACTGATGAACTTACACAACAATGAGGCTGGAAGAAAGGTATTTTAGAACAGGAATGGTCTAACCTAGAGGGAAGGGAACCCTTTGCACTGGCAATAACTGGGATTTTGTTCTTACAGAGGTGGTAAATCTTGTCTGGGCTGTACCATTTCAGACCAGGCTATACCATTCCAGACTGCATTAAATGTGATCGAATGCTCCTCCATACAAAAAAGATTCCTTGCATACAAAAACCCTAACATGTGGGAAAGAGGGATTCTAGCTCAGCTTCCTACCTTATATGCTACTTTTCTGTATGAAAAGGTTGATTGTGGTATAGAGGCACATCCAATATACCTGCAGTCTGAAATGGTATGATCCTGACATAGGTTAACTATATTTATGGAGATCTAGACTTGGGATGGGGGAATAAGCCTGAAGATATTTAATCTGTTTGTGCCATCAATGCACATGGTGCTTCATAGAGTAACATAAGCAAATATAATGAAATCAATGAAAATGGACCCCTGCCCTAAGAATCTTACAGTCTTAAAACAGAACAATCTAAAAATTGCCCATCGATCACCATTTTGTTCTGACAGCTGCATGTAGCATGGATTTTGTTACATTCAGTGTCTCCACCTAGGCAAACACAGAGCAAGGAGAACAAGCCCAAACTAACACATGCAAAATGTTATTACTGTTTATAATACATTTTATTCAACAGTATACTCCATTTGTGCAAAAACTATATCTGACACTAGATGCCTAATTTATACATTTAACCCATTTTATACATTTTGTTTTGATTCCTTCCCTTTAAATTTTGCCATTGTGTTTCAGCACTCATTTTGTCAAGGAGAGGTAGCACTTAGATCATTTTAGTGAGAAATACTATCACAAAGCTATAGATAATCTATACAGGGAAAGGGGAATGTTCTAATATTTCTCTGAGAAACCAAGTCAAATTGTGAAGCTTTATTTAGGAAGTTGTTCTTCACGTATTATCTGTTCAATAAAAGATTGACTCAGAGCATATATAAAATGTACCAGAAAACTAATTTAATTTATGTTTTAGGCATAATCTCAGGATGAAAGACTCTGAACTAATCATCAAAGATGGAAACTGTAATTGGCTTAAGGGGCAATCCTATGCAAGTTTAACTGGGGGTGGAGGAAGCCTACAACTTCCAGCTTAACTGTAGGCCTTTATTCTGCTAAACTTTCATAAAATTGCACCCTTGCTCAGTAGATAATTCAGTGAGGACAACTTCAAAATGTAGAAGCAGCTATTTATTTCTTTTTGACAGTATCTTAATTCTGGACTGCTGAATTTTGAAAGAAAAATATTTAAAATGTGCTTTCCTTCTGACAATGGAACAGCTGTTGTCTATGAAACTACATGTGGCACTGTGTTTCTGTTGGTGATCCTTTTTAGCTTGACTCTGATTTTTGAAATAAGAGCTGTTGGTCACTATTGCAGCCTGTACTGGTCTTGTTTTGCCAGCAAGAATATAGCTTCTCCACCTTCTGCTTGCAATTACATAATCTATTTGAATTCTGTGTTGGCCATCTGGTGAAGTCCATGTCTACAGGAGTCTGAGCAGTTGCTTGAAGTGTATGTTTGCAATGAATAGGTTGCTTGCTTCACAAAATTCTATGATTCATTCTCCTGCTTCATTTCTTACCCCTAGGCCAAACTTTCCTACAACATTTGATTCTGCTTTCTTTCCTGTTTGTGCATTTCACTTACCTAGGATTAGCAGCATTAGCAGTCTTGTTTTGATATGTTATCAATTTTCTATTGACCTCCTGCACAGAGGTTTTCAATCTCTTCTTCTTCAACATCTGTATCCAGTTTGCCTTGGTTCATACTTCTCATGTTCATGTTCCAATTGCATGTGTTGCACAGCATCAGACTTTCCTTTCACCTCTGCACATGTCAACCCCTAGACTTCCTTTCAGGTTTGCTGTAGCAGCGTCTTTAGCAGCAGCATTACTTGTATTTGCCCTTTGTCCTTCCCCAGTAGTTCATAATGTGCCTTCCAACCTGGGGTCTCATCTATTTCTTTTTTCATTTTTGGATTGTTTTGTCATGAAGTTTTTGAGGTAAGAAAATTCAGAAGTGGATTACCACATCCTCTACACAGTACTAAACAGAGCTAGCTTCAGCGCCACTGCCATTGTCTGTGAAAGATCCTCCTCCAGTGTTGCCTTCAGCTGAAGTTCAGCTCCTCCTTCAGCTGCTCTTTAGGAGTTTCTCCACTCCCATCATCATTAATGAGAGCCATTCTCTTTTTGCTGATCAGGCTGTTACTCCTGAAGAGGGTAGATTTATCTTAGCCTGGTGTCTCCGCCTATCTATCCTAGCCTCCTGAAGGTATTAGGAAAGTGTCCTCTTGGCTTTCTTGACACTTTCAAGCCCCCTCACTATGTTAAGGTGTGCATCTAGGAGGGGGAATCCATGAATTACATCATGATAATTTCATGTAGACTCTGGAAGTTAGAGACAGAAAACCACTGATGAATCAAGCTGACAGCCCTTCCCTCCCTTTGGCCACTGAACTAATGCAAAGTTAATCACACTTCTCACTCTGGAGAAAGATTTTCTTCTCACTCTGCAGGTTGGGCTGAGAGAGTAGTATACAACGACCCTGTAAGACAAGTCATTTCTTATATACCTATTTGCAGGTTCAAAAGCTGAGAATAACTTGTGGCAGCCCTGTAATTATACTCCGCTGTTCATGTTTCATGTCAGAAGTGGGCCTTATGCTGACTTGGATTTTCTGTCAAAAGCCTCTCAAATCTCACAGATTGCAGCATAGTTCAATTTGCTTAAATTGCCCCCTCAAATTCACAGGTCAAGCTGTATGCAGAAATCGCTCACTCTCTTGACTTGCATGCAGACTGGTCACACTTTTAAATAAAGAGATAAAATATTTATTTATTTATTTATTTATTTATTTATTTATTTATTTATTTATTAAAACATTTCTATGCCGCCCCTTGCAGTAGCCTCGGGGCGGCTCACAACATAATAAAATACACAATAAATATACTTTTTTCAAAATCCAAGTCAGAGTAGGGACTCCTGTACCCATTACCAATCTTTATAATGATGAATAGAGGAGCATCAGGGATGTTCTGAACCATATCCTTAGGTAATTTATGTACACACCAGGGAAACACTGTAATGTTTTGTTGTAGGCCCTTGCTCATCCATATGAATATTGAGCTTGGCTGTTAAGCCATGATTGCTAAAAGGGGGCTACTGAAAAAGAAGAGAGATACTGGTATGCTTAAGAAAAATCTGTGGTTTTAATTATTATTTTTGGGGAATATACCCTGTGAGGACAACCTCTCCCCCAAAACAGTTAAAAGAGAACTGTGCATGCTAGTGGGCACCGAATGCTGACCATTTGCTGAGAGGGGGAATGGAATGTAGTATCCTGGAAGATGGCATGGCTAACTTGAACAAGAGTACTCCATGTCATCTCCGATTTATAACAACCATATGAATGAATCCCCTGCAAAATATCTTGACCTCCACAGCCTGCTCTGCTCTTGTAAATTAAAGACTGTGGCTTTCTTTATGGAATTCAAGTATTCTATACTGTGACATTTTGCTGCAGGTTTCAAATTACATACTTGAGGAAAGGATCTACTGAGTTTTCTATTTTCTGTTTAAAGCACTAGAATAATAATAATAATAATAATAATAATAATAATAATAATAATAATAATAATACTTCTTTCAAACATAATTCATATGGGCAACAATGTCAGGATTCCAGTACACTGTACACACATTCCATAATCAATGTGGTGTAGTGGTTAAAAGCACATGCTTGGTTCTCAGGCAATCTGGCTTCTAGTCCCTGCTCAGCCATGGAGCCAACTTGGTGCCTTTGGGCCAGTCACAGACTCTCAGCCCAACTTACCTCACAGGGTTGTTGTTGTGGGGATAAGATTGAGAGCAGGGGGAAGAGAATGATGAGAGAATTATTTTCCTTTGTATTATTTATCCCTGCTTCTTTACGCAGGTGCTTGAAGAGAGGATGAAACTGGAATGCAAATGTCATGGGGTTTCTGGGTCTTGTACAACTAAGACCTGTTGGACTACACTTCCGAAATTCAGAGAGATTGGATATATTTTGAAAGAAAAATACAATGCTGCTGTGCAAGTGGAAGTGGTACGAGCTAGCAGGCTTAGACAACCTACCTTTCTAAAGATCAAGAAGATCAGAAGTTACCAGAAGCCAATGGAAACAGATTTGGTATATATAGATAAGTCACCAAACTACTGCGAAGAAGATGCTTCCACCGGGAGTGTGGGGACACAGGGACGGCTCTGCAACCGTACCTCACCCAGTGCTGATGGGTGCGACATGATGTGCTGTGGAAGGGGTTACAACACCCATCAGTACACCAAAGTTTGGCAGTGTAACTGCAAGTTCCACTGGTGCTGCTTTGTGAAATGCAACACATGTAGCGAGCGGACAGAGGTGTTCACCTGTAAATAACTGCAAATGGTCTAATTTTTAAAAGGACACAACCACCACATGTTGGAGTGGAACAATACAATTACGGCATCGTTTTGCACATATAATTTTCTTTACAAGGGGGAACCAACCAGTCTCTTCCCTGTTACTTAATAACACACACTTCTAAGAATGATGTGTAACTTGCTGGCTAGCTGCTTTGACCACAATGGAAACAGGGACAATAGGATAGATTGGGCAACTTTGTTCAACACAAGCAACTTTTCCCCCCCACTGCAACTGCAGGCTGGGTGTTATAGAATTTTTCTCTTAGATTAAGTTATACATATCAGAGACTCTGACTCCAGGACATTTTTTCAGATCTAAAATGCACACAAAATGTGCAAATAAGTCTTTTTCTTAATAGAAAAAAAGGAGAGCAATTAAACTGTTCACAGAGAAACTAAAATCACATCAGTGTTGCTGACAAACATTTATTTCTGATATAGAAAAGGAAAAAAAAACAGGTACAAAGGGCAGCTGGTGGGACAAAGATGTAAAATGGGGTGGAGGAACCTCAGTGATTGAGTCATTTGTAAAACAAAGTTCAGCAAATTCTGACAGCTGTCAGTGACACTGGAACCATTTGAATAGACATTTCAGAGAGAGAAAGATTATTTTATTTATGTTTTAATAGCACCAAAACAAATTCTCTAAGCACTAACGGGTAGCTATGTCTTTATCCTTTACTAAATGTAAACTTACTGGAACTCTTGACTTTCTGATTTTTATTTTTTATATTTGGTTCTCCCCTATATTTTCAATGCTGCTGATTTCATGACACCCCATTCTTGGAAGGAGTTCTGTTACTGTACACAAGTACGGCCTAAGGCAGAACAGGAACGATTTATCAGGAGAAACTGGTTAAAAATGCCAGTGATGTTCCTTCTTCTTTGCCAAGCTAAAGAGAACCCATTCAGAAAAGCAGCCAGAGGTCCACATCAGCGCGGAGTCTATATAAGCAAAGGCAGCTAAATTTGTGCACCCCTTAAATATCTTTCATACCTTACAGTCACACCCTAGGAACTGCTTCCCATGGGTTCATCCCATGGCATGATGGTAACATTTAAAGGGTTGATACCTTGTGGCCAGGGTCAATTGTATAGCACTTGACACCAAACTGTCACCCCAAGCTTAGCTGGGTGATGTTGTTACACATTAAGGAGTCATATAATGAACATACAATTATTGTTGGCCAGGATCAGGGGCAACAATTTCATACTGATGTCCCAGTACCCACATAGTGCAGGGCTATAAACATTACAGCCCCGTGGTGGAATGAAATATGCTCCCAGAGAAATACACTTTTGCAGAATGACTGTAATATTTAAAAGATAGTGCAACTGCTTAACACTGTATATCCTTTAGGCGTTGGGCTGACAGTCCTGTTTGTGTGGTGAAGGAATGGGACCACATGCGTCATCTCCACCCTTATAATGTAGCTTGTTATAACACTTACTGTTGCATCATTTCCAGATTTAGACAGTTCCTTTATCAGCTCTTCAGAACAGATTAATGTGCTTACACTGTGCCAAAGCAATAATGCAAACAGGAGTAGCTGAAGTCCACACTAGGAACCACTGAGTCTTATCCCAGGAGTACAAATGAACACATGAGTCACTTCTAAACGACAATTAATTTGAGTAAGGTTGATAGCATTAAATTAATTTTCTTCTTTCCATCTCTCTCTCTCTCTTTCTTTCAACACATTTAAGTGTGCACCTAACACTGTTAAACATTGATGCAACCCACACATTTGCAAATATATCCAGCCAATATATTTATCAGGGCACCAGATCTGGCTGCAAATGTAGAATTGCTGCTGCAAAGTGTACAGAATAGCCCTTAGTAAACTGAAGAAGTCTTTAAAAAAACTAACACTGTCAACCTGTAAGTCAAGGGTGAGCCACCTGTGATTTGGTCTGCAACTCCTAACAGCTCCAACCAGCATAGCAAATGGTGAGAGATGATGAAGCTCATAGTTGCCTACCCTTGACATAAATTCTTGCTCCTTATCATTACTCCCTTATTTTACTTTCAGAACCATTAAAAGGCCTGCATAGGACTGATTCACACATGCCTGCCCATCCACCAATGACTAATTCTTGCATTCTTCACACTTTTAACCCCTATAGTTAGAAACTCAATACCACCATAAACTTAAAATTTATCAAAAGCTGAAGTCTATACAAATTGTATAGATGCAGGTATAAGTCACATGGCTAAAATATGAGGCATCTCAGAAAGAATACCTAGTAGTATCATCTTCAGAAACATGGTTTGAGTTAGGCTCCTGCAAATCAAAATACCACCTTGTTGCATGTTAGGCAAATGAGCAATTATATTTTCTTATTGAAAATGAATCATGTAATCCAGCTTTTGTAACACTTCCTTTGATTAGTCTTGGGCAAGCAACAGCAACATAAAACCACCCTTTCTTCAGCAATATAAACTAACTAGGCAGATGTTATAAAAGTCATACAGATGCTGTATTGCAAACAATCACAATCACTTCAGCAGGTAATGTTCTATGGACTACAAAGAGCTACTACTTGACATGTTCAGCATCCAGTACTAGAAAGAGGCCCTCACCCATCTCTCACCTCATGTTACAACTTGGGCCTCCAGATGAGGGTATACATGCACATCAAAAGATGTTTCTAGCAGCTCTGCAAAACAAAGATGAACTTTGCAATACAGACAGGACTACACATTCAGGTGTGCATCTGAACTTGCTTTGGCTGCATGCAGCAAAGATATCCGCTCACATCAGACTTCCAAAGCAAGCTAACTAATGTCCCATTATCAACTCCTGTTCTGGCATCCAGGTAAAGGGAAACCTTTCAAAATACCGAGTTCCTAGCATTTCCTGGCATCTAGATATTTTGAGAAATGCTCATCTTAAGACAAGAGTACTGATCAAGTTCACACAACATTCTTGGCCGCCCCGCAAATTAACTATGCAGTTATTTGTGGAATAATTTGCAATGTGTCTTTTTGGAAGACTATCAGACTCCCTGTGGTTTGTTCTCTGCCTTCCTCCACAGTCCTCATGCTGGTATCCTAACACCTTTCATGGCAGAAAGGTGCCTCCTTCCTCCTCACCATTCTGATCTTGTCTCCCTGTCTCTGCTCTGATCTTTGTGTTCACTGCTGTTTATTTTCAGGAGGTCAAAAGGTGCAGATAGGTCCTTTTAAAATTATTTTTGGATGGCCCCTGAGAATTGTCAGCAGTGGTGGCAGTGGCGATGATGATAATCTGGTCTTTCACAGCGGCACTCTTATGGCTGTCCGATAGTTGTCACACCTAGTCAATTACCTTGTGTGTTTCAGCTGTCAAAGTAAGTAGCAAAGTGAACCCAGTAACATTAATGGAAATTGAAAAGGAAAGCTTATATAAAGGCTAATTTGTGCCCAGATGCCATGGACCAATTGCCAAGCTGACAACTGAAGAGCACTAATAAAGGGGCAAAAGGTGAGTGGCAAAAGAAGATTTACCAAAAGAAGATGCACCAACATCTTCCCTTGGGGATGTGATCCTCTTGGTTTTGAGTGTCAAACTGGCTTTTCTATGTCCTTCAGTTTTCAACACTTCACTGAGTCTCCAACTGCTCCAGAAAGGGTGATATCAACACCTTTCATATTTGCAGTTCTTTTTGCTGTTTGTGCTGCAGTTTCCCTGAAGTTTCTTTAAAAACCCACAGAAATATACACAAGTATAAAGCCTGGGAAGTAAATAGAAGGGAAATTTGTGCACCAGCACTAAGTGTTCTATTACTGCAGGTGCACAAATTTATTCTTCATTTACTTCCCAGCCATTAAATGGACATAGATTTCCCATACAAAAAATGCAAGTATTCTCAACAGTTTTCTTAAAAATATTCTTACATGTGGCATAACAGATAGATCAAATGGGCACTAGTACCATTCAGAGTCAACACCTGTTCCATTCACTCTGTTTCTTCAGCCAGCACCTTAATGGTGTCATTGTTTTAAGAACTGTCAGGGAATTTCAGTAACTATAACTGTAAGTGCTCCAAAAAAGAGTCACAGAAAGGGGGAGCTAATATCTCCACTTACAGGATTGGTTGGATATTCAGGGAAGTGGGAGATATTGCTCTCCTTCTTCTGCTGCACCTAATGTGTCCCTCACTTCTGGTGTTTTTTGGCTGGCAACTTGGCAATTGATCCTTGGCAACTGTGAGCAAATTATGCAATCTTACTCTGTCAGTTTTCATGTATGTTACTGATGCAACTTTGCTGTTTCCTCTGACAGCTGAAAATTGCAAGGAAACTGAAAAGGCAAGATTATCAGACAGCTGTAAGAACACACTTGCAAAAGACTGGTAATAATGGTAATGCCAGTGCTGATCATATTTGCACTTTTTCTGGGGCTGAAAAAGAAGGAGGTGATCTAGTGATAGTGAAGTGCTGCCTGGACATTGGTAGAAGGGCTATCCATTGTGGCAGGGGGCTTTGCCACTCTTGCTAAGTGGAAAAATTAGAAACTAAGCTAACTCAGGAGCTGTCATGGACAGACTATTTTGGAGGGCTTTCATTCATAGAGTTGCCTCAAGTTGGAGAATACTTGATGACATAACACATAACAACAACAAGCAAACTCAAACTTGATGGCATTTCCTGAAAACCCTTGGAATACAGCTAATCTATGATCAAATGATGTCCACCAAACTTACAATGCAGCTTCAAATTCCTGTCTTTCCCCCTCAATGGTTATTTCTGTCTTTCCCCTCAATCGCCCTAAGACTGAATGTAGACAACTTCTTTCCAACAGTTTAACTTACTTTAGCATCTCTGTAAACAGATGGCACACTAACTATCTGTATCAACAACAAGGAGGATTCTACTGCTTTATTTCTCCAGAGGTTATAGTGGGTAAAAAATTCTTGCCACTTATCTGGATATCACAGTGAACCCACTGACTATTGCAGCACGCCACCCGATATGCATGCACCAAATGG